TTATTAATGATATTCGTATATTCGTCAAATTTTTTCCGTATTATATCTTTTGCTTTCTCCCAATAATAATAGATGCGTTCCTAAAATTAAGTGATCATGGCATAGAACATAAACTTGGAAAAGGCTTTCCGAATTTTGACAGAAATCACAACTGAGATTCTACACTACTGCCTTCTCTTCGAAGGCAATAGTGTAGAATCTCATTTATCTCATATCACAAGCCGCACATCAAAAGCGAATTCTGCTTCATACAGCAGTTCTAGGAAAAATACAATATTATTGAACTATCTCTTACTCCGTTCGTATGTAATTGATTGATACCAAATAACAAGTGAGATAGAGACGGACAATGCATATCGATATCACAAAAATCACTTGATAATGGAGCACTTGCTTTTGGTGCACAAATTATAAATCTAAACAGTATGCAAACAAAAATGTTTTTCTATTAGATAGGTAACTTGGTAATTGATGAATCTCCTTCTAAAACGATCTAAAACCTCTGTATCAACTAACTCATCTACGAGGCATAAAAAACCGTTTTCAGGCATTTGTCTTAATAAGTTCGGCACAAAAAAGTTCTGCTCAAATTTTTTTGTTAGGAATGTGAAAAACATATGGCAGCAGATGAAAACAGTATTTTGACGAATAGATGAATATAAGTACCGTGCAAATAAACCATCTTGTGTAAATATATTTGTGTTCTCATCCGAGATACTAGAGATTGTTGTTATTGGATGACCAGCAGCACTGATGTTGAGACGAGGTTTTGTGATGGTACCTTTCTGGTTTTTGCATGTCTGACGTCTTTGACGATTTTCTCCATTGAAAAATGTATTGAAGTAACTTCGATCGTAAGCGGATTTTTCTGATTTGTAAATACCCATTGAATAAAGAAAAGTATTTAGTTCGTCCCATAGTTGAACGATACTGGAATGTTTCTGCAATTCTCCAATCAACGACTCAATAGTTGCTGAGTTATTATTTTTTGAATCATCCGGATTAATACCTAAAGCATCCTCGACATCTTCTACGGCCTTTCTGAAAGAACAAATATTATGGATGACGCAGTAACCGTGTACTAGATCACAGGCATAATCTGCCATCGTTAAAAAAATCTGTTCCGTTGTGGAAGAAGCATAATAAGATGGACACTTACTGGCATATTACTTGTGAATAGCAACTTACCGAACAAATCTCATCGCCTGTGATTTACCGGCACATGGAAAACCACAAATGATACTATAGATAATGAAATGGTTTAAATAATTAGACCACGATCTTACAGATGCATTAAAACAACAATGAGCAGCAGCTGGTAACATTACGGTAAGAAGAAATTCTGGAGCTAATTTGATTGATTTACAAACATTTGTCAAAATTGTTGCTGTTGCTGTTTCAAATATATCAACGTTCTGTATACAAGCCTTCTGTGCTTTCATCATTCTTTCTCTTATCTCCCCAAGTGACATTGACCGTGGTTGTTTACAGGCCATTCCACACAATATTATTATTGCTTTATTATTTTAAAATAGAAGTACGATATGTGCTGTAAACAGATTATTTAGCGTATAAGATATAGACGAAAGTGATGTTTCACTATATGTGGTCAGTAATAAATAGTACTTCAGTTATCAAAAAGGATAAGAAAGAGAAAGTTCAAGGTTTCCTTTTTTTCCGGCAATTGTTTTTTGTTTTGGACGTCAGAGAAATAAAATTCACTATGACTGACGGAGTTCCTTTTGTTATTTTTACAAGGGGGGAGTAAGTTTTT